GCCCAGAGCCTCTTTGGCATCAACGTCACACAGACCGTAGGGGATGCTGGCAGAGTGGTACCACCTACCGAATCTGGCTTGGAGGTAGTTGGGATGTGAGGACACCAAGCCAACAGGTAGGAAGAACCCTTTTAGAAGTCTGAAAGACGAGGAGGACGCGAGCATGCTGAAATACCAGTGGGACGGTTCCAGTGGTGAAGGTGCCCTGCAGGCATGGGAGAACCAGATAACCCAGAGCAGAAGGTCCCCCGGGGCAGTGACAGCAGATGGCCCCTGGAGAGGAGGGACACCTCCCACACCATCCCAGGCATGGAAAAGGAGACAGTGGATGCCATGCAGGCAGCTCTGTAGCTAGGGGTGCAGACCTGCCTCTCGACCCATTTCCAGACCTTTGTGCAGTGGGCGATGAGCCATTCTGCTGGAGAGAGAGGGAGGTGGGAAGGTCAGAAGTCTGAGAAGTACTGACAAGAGCCCACAAGCTTGCTAGGGAGAAGGGATGTAAATCATGGGGTACCACAGCTGTGGGGGGCTGGTAATGACTGGGTGTGTGCTGTTGGTTGCCGTCAAGTCAATCTTGACTTGTAGTGATCCATGTGACAGACTAGCGCTGCCCCATAGGGTTTTCTAGGCTAAAGTCTTCACAGGAGCAGACTACAGGTCTTTCTCTCACAGAGCGACTGGGTGGGTTTGAACCACCACCAGCCTTCTGGCTAGCAGCCAAGTGCTTAACCATTGCATCACCTGAGCTCCTTAAAGGGGATAAGGATAGAGAGCAGATACCGTGCAGGCAATTCCATTCTGGCTCTTGGTGACCATGAGAGAGAGCAGAACTGCCCAGAGGGTTTCCTAAGCTACAATGTTTATGGAAGCAAGCAAAAAAAAAAAAAAAAAACTCACTGCCTTGGAGTCAGATCTGACTCATAGCGACCCCTCCTTGGGCTTCCGAGGCGGTATCACTACGGAAGTAGATGCCCAGTCTTCCTTCTTACAGAAGCAAAACCCAAACCAAACCCACTGCCACGGAGTGGATTCCGACTCACAGTGCCCCTAGAAGAGAGTGGAACTGCCCCAGAGAGTTTCCAAGGCTGTCAGTCTTCACAGAATCAAAGCCCAAATCACACCCACTGCCATCAAGTTGATTCCAACTCACAGCACCCCTAGAGGACAGAGAACTACCCCAGAGGGTTTCCTAAACTCTCATCTCTATGGAAACGGGTTCCTAAAGGGTCTCTCATCAGTAGCCAAGTGCTTAATCATTGTGCCACCAGAACTCATTACCATCATTTCCACTGCCATATAATTCAGTACATTACTGATTAGTAAGTCAAGTCACCATTTCACCTTACAGTGGCCGCCTCTACAAAGGAAATCCAGTTGTGAATGAATTGCTAGACTCTGCTAGACACTATGGGAAGTGGAAGGATAGGTCAAATCCAAACCTTGTAAACAGGAGATTGTGGGACAGCCATGACCCCAGCCTGGCCCATTTCCAGCCCCTGCTGCAGCTCTGGAAGAAGACCCCTCCTGACACTGTGTCTCTGGTTGTCAGACCCGGGGTGAGCCCACAGTGTCTGGAAGTGATGGGGACTGATGATCCTTGGTGTTGGAGACTGGCTGGGAGACACAGAATAAGACATCCCGCAGTCGGGGGGAAAGACCACGGGAGCCTGTGGCCCTCTCGGACAAGTTTCATCTTCTGTTTTCATTGTTTCACGTCTGTCTCCCCAAGACTGGAAGCTCCATGGGGGCCAGGCCTTTGTCTTGTTAGCCATCTTGTTGACTGGCGATGTCCCGCACTGGGTCAGTCCAACCAAAACACCAAACTCACTGCCATTGAGTTGGATCCAACTCATAGCGACCCCTCCTTGGGTTTTCAAGGCAGTATCTCTGTGGAAGTAGATTGCCCAATCTTCCTTCCAAGGAACCAGCCTTCTGGTTAGCAGTCAAATGCCTTAGGCACTGTGCCACCAGAGCTCCCCACTGGGTCAGTAACTGTGGAATAATGAGTTTTACAGAGGTTACTGCTGATGTTGTTGAGGGCTTTCTGGATCAAGGAATGACCCTCAGTGGAACCGGGAGTGTCCCCGCCCTGGTTCCTGACGGCCTCTCGCTCTGATAGGCAAAGGCAGGAGAGGACAGAGGCCTTTGTCTTCTCTTTCTGTTCAGGGCCAGCCTGATGGAAGCTGTGGGACCCCTGCACGGAGCCTTGGCCCCCACCGCCTCCACTGTCCTGGAGTTCAATGTGGCCTCTGAGGCTCTCATGAGGGGCTGCCAGTCCCCTGCCCCAGGGCCTGAAGCTACAGAGAGCCCGCCCTCAGAAGGAGTGGAAGGCCAAGGATGCTCAGAGACCCCGTGGGGAGAGTCGAGGGATGCGAGCAGAAGCCCAGCCGAGATCATGCCCCCAAACCCTGAGGACAGCTCTGAGGACAAGGCGACCCGCCTGGAGACCCCCGAGACCCACCAGGAGACTCTTGCAGCCAAGCACTCAACAGCCGATAGCCAGGCCAGGACACTCACTGCCCTGGAGCTCTGGGGCCACCCGGTCCCATGGGACAGTGTGGACCTGGTGCCCATTCCCAGTGAGCTGGGCAGCAGGTCGGAGGCCGAACTTGTGGCCTGGGTCCCTGGGCACCCAGATGAGCTGGAGGACGCAGACCGTCCCGTTGCACCCAGCCCTGGGCCAGCCTGTGGAGAGCACCCTGTGAGGACCCCACAGGAAGGGCGAGGGCCAGTGGGGTGTACGCACCCCCAGGGGGTGCAGGAAGCACCCGAGGCGCAAGTCCACGGGAGGAGGGGGCAGCAGGGACAGGAGAACATGCAGGCTCTGTGGCTGGGAGGCCCGACTCCTGGCCAGCGGGATCAGGGGGAAGGCGGGTGGGAGCCCCAGGGTCTGAGGCCTGGGGGCTGCCGGTTAGAGGGGTTGCTGCTGGGGCTGGAGGAGAGTGGCGTGGATGCAGAGCTTGTGGGGAAGCCAGGAGGGGCACCTGGGAAGCAGGCAGACCAGGCTCTGGGTGGGCAACCGATCCCAGCAGAGGGGTGGGAGGAGGAGGCAGGGGACTGGGCTGGGGACGGGCTCGGTGCCAGTGGAGAGCAGGCAGAGCACGGGGGGCCCCCTACTCCGGCTCCCATGGCCCCAGGCAGTCCTCCTCCCTGTGACATGTCCTCCAAGGCCTCTGGCCCCGTAACCGGGGCTCCTGGGCCTCAGGTAGGCCCCCAGGCTGAGGATGTGTCTCCCCTCGCTCTGACCCTTGGCCCAGAGCCAGAATGGTCCCATCTGCCCATGGCCGCACTCAGCCTCTCCCCCGTTGAGGCATCCCCTGACGATGAAAACTCTCAGGAAGGCCAGCGAGAGGGGCCTGGGGCCTGGGAGGACCCCTCCAGTGTGTCAGGGACACCTCCACAGACACTGGCCTCAGGCCCCAGCTGTCCTGCTCAGATCTCCCCATGTCCCAACGCCTCCCTGCCCGCCGGCCCCATGGGGGAGGCCCTTCTTGCTACCTGGCCTCCGGCGGCTTCCAGGGCCTCTCTCTCCAGGGATGGGCCCCCCCAGATGTCCACGACTGCCCCCCATGGCTCCCCTTTAACAGAGGATGCCTGGGACCTATGCCCCAGCCCCACAGGGTCCCCTCCACACAGCCCTCCAACCACCCCCTCGGGGGTCACCGTGCATCTGAGGAGCAACTCCTTCCCCGGCCCCCACCGGACCGAGCTCCCCCCCGAGCTGCTGGCCAGGTCGCTTTCTTTCTCCCACTCGGAGCCCCCCCAGAGGCCCCCCAAACCCGCCATCTATGGCTCTGTGGCCCCGAGGAGGCCCAGGAGGAGTAGCAGGGATGGCAGCAGCCCCCTGGGATCCCCAGCAGCGGGTGACACTTTGGGGCAGGTCCCGGAGTCGCCCACCTCCCCACCTTGGACCTGCGAGCACTGCTCAGCCCCCACCCCACCCCTGGACTCTATAGATGGGAGGGGCGAAGAGCCCCCCCCACCCCTGGTGAAGAGGCACTTTCGGTCCCCCACAGGAGAGCTAGACTCCTGTCCCCGGGTGACAGGCCCCACACCACAGCGACACAGTCACCCACCCACTGTGGCCCTCAGCTCAGGGCCCCACAGGCCCCCCAAGGGCCCACAGGATCCCCTTGTGGCAAGAAAGCTCCGGCGTCTGCCCTCCGCCCCAGATGCCCCCCACCCTGCTCAGACCTCTCTGCCCCCCAGGCCCAGATACAACAAGCCTTTGCCCCCCACACCCGATCAGCTTCAGGCCCCGCCTCCCCCCAGCCCCCCCTCCAGGAGCTTGAGGACCTATAAGCCGCTGCCACCCCTCCCCACCATGGACCCTCCCTCTGAGCCACCCCCTCTGCCCCCGAAGGCCAGGGCCAGGAGCAGGGGCTCTCAGGGGGTACTCATGAATGCCACAGGCCAGGCCAGGCCTGGGGGTCAGGACTGGCCAGCACCTCCAGCCCTCTCGGCTGGCCGCACCTCCTGGCCCCCTGCCGCCAGCCAGTCCACCGACCCCTTGGTGTCCGCCAGCAGGGGTAGGAGCGACGTGGCCCCTGGCCTGGCCTTCACCAACGTGACAAACCTTCTGAGCCCCTTGTCCCCCTCCACTGCCTGGCCCCCAGAGGATGGGTCCTGGCTCCCAGAGAAGGTAGGGGACCCCATCCAGGGACCCTCCAAAAGAGCGGTCCCTCAGGAGGGAGCCAGCAGCCCTCGAGGACTGTCAGAGAGACCCAGCCACCCCCTGCTGGAGAAGGCTTCCAGCTGGCCCCACCGGCGAGACCCAGGCAGACCGCCGCCAGGTGACAGCAGGCTGGCCCCCGGGGAGGCGCATGCTAAGAGCAAAGGCTGGAACCGGCAGGGCCTGCGCCGGCCGTCCATCCTGCCCGAGGGCGAGGGTGCAGCAGGTGAGCAGCCCCCCCCACCCCCCTCCGTCCCCCCCCTGCTAAGCCCCCCCCCCCAGCCCGGCTCCCTCTCCTCCTCTGTCTCTTCCCGCGTCTTCTGGACACCCTCCTATGTGCACACCTGCTGATTCCCTCCTGGGCCACGCTTGTCCAGTTCCCACCTGTTAGCAGGGCTTGGCATCCTGGCCCCGGTCGGGCTGCCCCCATTCCACTGCCCCTGCAGCGCCATCCTCTGGCCCTCTGATGCCCCCCAGTCCTGTCTCAGGCTCTGAATGCCCCATTTCTGTTTTCAGATAGGAGAGGGGTGGCCATGGAGCAGTGCCCTGGCCCCTCAGACACCATCGTCCTCCGGTAAGTTTTCCTGTCTCCCAGTGGACACGCTGACATGCTCTTCGCTTGGTTGATGGGGCCCAGGTCCCCAGCTGGCCCACATCTGGCTCTTCCGGGGGGGCAACACCCACACTGGGAGACTTTTGTTGAGACTTTGGGGCCCTGGCTTTGCTGGCTACGTCCAGGGTACAGCCCCTGAGCCCTGTGGCCTTGACCTCAGCCCCTGGTACAGTCCCACGTGGCAACCAGGACAGCCCTGAAGTGGGTGACCCAAATGCCTCAGAGCTCAGAGACTGTCCCCTGACCCAGAGCCCCTCTTCCTGCCACAGGGAGAAAAAGCCAAAGGAGGCGACAGGCAGCTTCTCCAGACGCTGCTCGAAGCTCATCAACTCCTGTGAGCACCTTGAGCGAGCGGCGGGTGGGGAGGGTGACGGCGGGTGGGGAGGGTGACGGCGGTGGCGAGGGCGTGCGTGCGGCGGCGGGTCCACAGCAGGCACAGCGGCGGTTCTGCCTCCCTCTGAACACCCTTCACTGCCACCCCGCACCGCAGCCCAGCTGCTGTACCAGGAGTACAGTGACGTGTTCCTCAACAAGGAGATCCAGAGCCAGCAGCGGCTGGACAGCGCGGCCGTGTCCCCTGCACTCGCATCCCCCCGGCAGCCCCGCAAGGCCCTGGCCTCCTCAGAGTCCTACCTGCAGCGCCTCTCGGCGGCCTCCAGCGGCTCCCTGTGGCAGGAGATCCCGGTGGTCCGCAACAGCACGGTGCTGCTCTCCATGGCCCATGAGGACCAGAAGCTGCAGGAGGTACCGTGGGCGGGGCAGGGGCGGGGCCTGGTCACCCCCGCTGCAGGCAGGCTGTGCCCACAGCTCACCGCCTCGCACAGACACAGCCCAGTCACCTCCCCAGCGGCGAGCTTCAGCTGTTGTCTGGCTGTCCCCTTCGGAGGGCTGGGCATTCGAACCCAGGATGTCAGCGGTCCGTGCTCTCTGCAGAGGTTCCAGGGAGGTTTCCTCCTTGTTTCACGCAGCGTCTCATGGCCCCAGGTGTCCTTGGCTTTTGGCGCATCCTCACATGGTCGTCTTCCCTCGGGGCTTTCCATGCTGCTGTGCCTCTTCTGTAGGAACCACTTAGATGGGAACCCCCTTCTCCGGTGTGACCTCTTGTAAACTTAAACTGACCCCATTGGCCTCTAAGGTCATGTTCACAGGTACCAGGGCTGAGGACGTCCACGTGTCTTTTGGAGACACAGTCCAGTCCATCACAGTTGGGGGTCATGCAGAGTGGCCGTACCGCCACATTTTTTGGGCAGAATGTGGAATCCGCCCATCCCAGCTGCTCGGGGTGGACCACAATGGCCCCCCCCTACAGCCAGTGTTCAAGTTCCCTATGGCTTCCTCTGCAGCCCAGGCACACCAGGCGCCGTCTGTGGGGTGTGCTGCAGATCGCCCCCCGCAGCTGCCCCGCAGTCCATCGGTGTAGGAGGGGTGGAACTCGCACCAGTCCGGCCACTCCTGCCCAGCCTCACTCCCCACAGCAAGACTGCAGTGGAAGCTGTTTGTCTGCTTTTAATTTATTCCCGGATGGGTTTGCCTGGGAGCTTCTCTTCATAACCTGTCCAAAGTCTGGGGTGGAGCCCCTCCTCCCAGGAAGATAGTATGGCCCAATGGAAAAGCATGACAATGATATTCCCATATCTAGGTTCTGGAGCAATGCCCTGGTTTGAACCCTGCTTTCATATTCCCTAGTAGAGAACTCGGGCCAAGTTGATTTATCTGAATCTCCGTGTCCTCATATACAAACTAGGATGCAAAGGGTTACTGGGAGAATCAGAAAAGATAAGTGCTTGGTACACGATAATGGCTCAAAAGATCTGTGTACCATGCTGATTTGGAGTCAGGCAGACTTGAGTGTGAATCCTGACTATACCCCTCACTAGCTGTGTAACCTTAGACGAGCTATGTAAGTTCATCACCTCTCCCTTTCCTCATCTACAAACTAGGGGTACCAGTGCCTGCCTTTCAGGGTTGTGGCTTACACGAAATGGTGCCTACCTCGTGTCTTGCCTATCTCGTGTCTTGCCTACCTCGTGTCTTGCATCCCTCATGTCTCGCATCCCTCTTGTCTTGGTTCTGTGGTGCTACTGTAACAAAAATACTGCAAGTGGGGACTTTCTCACAATTTAGGAGGCTAGAGGTCTGAATTCAGGGCACCAGCTCTAGGTGAAAGCTTTCAGTTCTGTTGATCTCCAAGGTGCCCCGTAGACAGACCTTTTCTTGGAGGACAACAGATGTAGCCTCTGCAGCCTGTTTCCTGCCTATAAAATCCCAAGAGGAAGACAGCATTCCTTCTTTTCATTCTTCCTCTGTCTCGTTCAGTCTAAGCTGGTGGGTTTTCTGCTGTGGTACCTGGTTCAGTCCATCAGTCACAGGCTTAATCTCTTTAACAAAATTATGTGACCCTATCCTTGGTGAACGTTCGAGGACACGTCCTTAGTTTGTACAACAGAATTTTCCAACTCTAAGTTCTGTTTTCATTTTGCACAGTTCATTTTTAAGTCCATCTCTTTCCTCTAGCATTTTCCTATCATGTGGCCCCTTGGAGAGCTTGCTTAGATGTCTCCTTGGGCAGATTACCAGGTTCATCACTTACAGGTTCTACCTTCCACCAGGTATTTGAGCATAATTCACACAGGTTCTCTGCCAGTGCATGAAAAGCATTGCCCTTCCACATTGTCCAGTCACATGCTTGTGATTTTCACAAGCACATTTACCATCCGCGTGCTTAGCACCATTCTGTTACTGGCGCCATGTCTTCTCTAAGATGATAGAGACTTTCTCTGTAGCTCTCCTCACTTCCTTCTGAGCCCTCATCAGAACTGCCTTTGACGTCCATAATTCTACCAGCAGTCTCTTCAAGACAATCTTGGCCTTTTCTGTTTGACGCCTTAAAACACCTCCAGCCTCTACTCCAGTGCGAGCAATGACTGCGACTGATCTTTGCTGCCTCATTCCATGTCGTGTGGGAGGGCCATCTGGCCGTGACTGTAGGTGTCCATGCCCTTGCCAAGATGTGCGTCCTCTCCTCATGTCCATCCCCTGTCTGTCTCAGGGCAGCAGGGCTGGGTGGCCAGCATGACCATCTGAGCTGCGGCAGATCAGGCTGTGAGCTGCTGTGTGCCTGCTGGGGCCTCCAGACACTTGTCACATGCTGCGATCTACCCATCCAATGACAACTGCACTGTCTCGGTGTCCTGCTTCCTTTCGTGTCTCCTCAAACCCCAGAATGAACGCACCACCTTCACCCCTTAACCTGCCCCTCTCCCGGCACCCTCCGCTCTGTCAATGACTCCATACCCCAGTTTCCCAACTCGGAAGCCAAGGCCTCCGCGTTGTGTCATCCTCCGCCCTCAGCCCGTTTCCAGCTGTTGAGCAAACTCTTCCAGACCCACCTCCTCCGTGATGATGGTACCATCCCCTCTCCTCCAGGTGGTCCCGGCCTTCCTGTCTCATCTGGAACCATCACTGTGTTTTCCTAAGGGGTCCCCTTCCCCCTCTAACCCCCTCTCCTTGCTGTGCTCAGAAATACCTTCATGACACACAAGTCTGCTCAGGCCGCGTCCCTGACATAGAGACCTTTGGTTGTTTTCTTGTTGCCTTAAGGTGTGTCCACCTATTTTACATGGAGACTTCATCTCTCTGCCTCTCCACCTTCCTCTCTTGACACTTGTGCACGGGGTTCATGCACCCCCTTCTCTTCTCACACCTTTGGAGGCAGATGCTCTGCCTCCAGTGTTCTCTCCCCCTCCTCTTAAACCAGGTGAGCTGTGTCAGGTGTGACCGAGCTGTAAGAGGGGCTGTCTGCTTCTCCACTGTCCCTGAGACATTGCACCACACCTGGTGACCGCCAGAGGCTCTGAAGGTGTTTGAATATGTTCCTCTTCCATGACCTCCTAGGCCAAGTTTGAGCTGATTATCTCTGAGGCCTCGTACCTGCGCAGCCTGCATGTGGCTGTGGACCACTTCCAGCTGTCCACTTCACTCCGGGCCACGCTGTCCAACCAGGAGCACCAGTGGCTCTTCTCCCGTCTGCAGGACGTGCGTGACGTCAGCACCACGTGAGACACCCTGTCTTAGTCCCCTAGGGCAGCTGTAACAGACACACTGAGGTGGGGGTGGTGACTTTTTAGAGAAGATAAATTTATTTTCTTGCCATTCAGGAGGCAACAAGTCTAAATCAGGGCACCGGCTCTAGAGAAATCCTTGTGTCAGCTTCTCTCTTGCCGGTGTCCCTTGGGTCCTTGGTGATCTTCACATGGCATCTGTCTCCCCCAGGGGTGCTGACTTCTCTCTGTCTAAGCTGCTCCTTAGACAAAGTCATTAAATTTGGGGCACACCCTACACTGATACAGCCTCATGAACATATCAGAGAAAATCCAATTCCCACGTGGGATCCCAGCCACAGGTGTGGGGCTGAGGGTTCCAACATGTATTGGGGGCACAGTTCCAACCACAGCATCCTCTTCTCCCTGATCTCACTCACTCACCCTCCCTGCTTTGTCTGCAAACTGTCAGGGAGAGGCTGGGCCTCGGTGCCGACAGACCTGACACCTGAGCAGAAAGAGCAGAGGGGAGGGTGTGGGGTGGACAGGTCTGTTAATGGGCAAACCGGTGCGAGAGGAAGCTTCTGGGCTGAGGTGTTGGATCTGCTCCGGGCACCTACTGCCTGGGGAGTGGGACGCCTCTGAAGATCAGACAGCCAGAGAGGGTTGAAGGTGATGGGGAGCAGTGAGGTAGACCAAGGCAAGTGGGGCTGGCTTGGGGTGAGCTCCAGGAACAGGAGCTGAGAACAGCCTACCGAGCCTCCTGACGGGGAAGCAGCAGCCTGCGTGGGGCCTGGCCAGCCCAGCCCTGTGTCAGGAGACCTCCCTGGGTCTGTGCAGGTTCCTGTCCGACCTGGAGGAGAACTTCGAGAACAACATCTTCACCTTCCATGTGTGTGACGTGGTCCTGAACCATGCCCCCCATTTCCGCCGGGTCTACCTGCCCTACGTCACCAACCAGACCTACCAGGAGCGCACCTTCCAGAGCCTGCTGTGAGACTGCCCCGCCCACCCCAGGCCCTCCTCAGCCACCCACCAAACGCCAGGCCAGAGGTGGTCCCAGAGACATTGTCCTGTGCCTGCCCCTCGGACCCACCTCCAAACCAGATGCCCTGGGCGGTCGCATCAGGGTCTCTAGAAGCAGCTCCCCTGAGTCTGCGGAGCCCCGCCCCTCACTGTGCTCCCATCCCCCATCCCTTCCTCAAGTGCCCTCATCCCCTGCAGAGCCCCAACCCCTCAGGCCATCATGGAGCCCCCTCGCAGGCTTCCAGAAGTCACCCTCCACATTACCCTACCCCCATGATGCCCCCACCCCCCCATGTCTCCTCACCCTTCATGGTGCACCCACCCCCTAGAGTGCCCGTACCCTCCCATGTCCCCTCAAACCTCACAGTGCCCCCACTCCCCATGGTGCCCCCACCCCCCGTAGTGTCTCCCATGTTCCCTTACTCCTCTTGGCACCCCATCCCCTAAAGTGCCCCCAGCCCTCATGTCCCGGACCTCTCTGGGCACCCCCGCAGGAATGGCAACAGCCACTTCCGAGAGGTCCTAGAGAAGCTGGAGAGCGACCCCATCTGCCAGCGCCTGTCCCTCAAGTCCTTCCTGATCCTGCCCTTCCAGCGAATCACCCGCCTCAAGCTGTTGCTCCAGGTGCCTGGGCCCTGCCCTCTCCCTGGGCCCCGCCTCCCAACAGCCCCACGCCCCCCGGCCCTCTCCCCACTGTCCTCTCCTCACAGTCCCATACCCCCATGGCCTCCCCCACTGCCATCTCCCCTCAGCTCCATGCCCCCCACAGCCCTCTCCCCTTGTCCCTCTCCCCACAGCCCCACACCCAAAGGGGGGCCTCAGGATGCCCACGTGCCCCAGCCTCCAGTGGGGCAAAGGACACCCGCTCCTGTGCCCACCTCCCCACGCACGTGGAGGTGTGCAGGCCCCCATCGCCCCATCTCCTCTCTGCCTCTGTCCCATTACCCTCTGGTGCTGCCCACCGTGTCCTGTAGAACATTCTGAAGAGAACACAGCCAGGCTCCTCAGAGGAGGCAGAAGCCACCAAGGCACACCACGCCCTCGAGGAGGTAGGTGGCCACCGCCCGCTCGACCCCAGGTTTGTCCTGGGCCAGAAGCTCCACCCCTGCCTAGGCCCTGACTCCAGTGCACAGGAGCAGGACCCTAAACAGGCGGCTCAGCGCCCCCCATCCTCCAGATCTCCAATGTGCATGGCCTACCCCTGCCTCCTCCAGTCCAACGTGTACACCACAGCCTCCCCCAAACCTCCGATGTGCACAGCCGCCCAGGCATCCACCAGTCCAGCGTGTACCCCCACAGCCTCCCTTGCCTCCTCCAGTCCAACGTGCACACCCATGGCCTCCTGTAGCCTCCCCCAAACCTCCAATGTGCACAGCCGCCCCGTGCATCCACCATGGCCTCTCCCTGGACCCGCCAGTCCTCCAATGTGCACACCCACGGCCTCCACATACACCCCAAGAGTGCATGCAACCTCAGCCCCTAGATTAAATCTCATTTCCAGTCAGCCCAGAACATGCCATCATGTCACCAGAGCCCTAGGGCTTCACCTTGGCACTCATCCACTCTCCCAGCCTGATAGAGGAGGGTGGGCTGTTGCACCCTGCTTCCCAGGGTTGGGAACAGGGCCCCGAGCACGTGCCTTCCTGTGACCTCTCTGGCCCCACCCCAGCTGATCCGAGACTGCAACAGCAACGTGCAGAGGATGCGGCGGACAGAGGAACTCATCTACCTGAGCCAGAAGATCGAGTTCGAGTGCAAGGTGAGCCGACTTCGCTCCTGGCGTGACCACACCCCACCCCGTGACCACACCCCCATCCCGTGACCACACCCCCATCCCGTGACCACACCCCACCCCATGACCACCCCTGTGGCTCCACTAACCTGCCTCATCAGCTCAGTCCTCCTCTCTCCCGGGGCCCCTGTCCTGGGATACCCAAATGGTCCACAGTACACTGTTAAGTTAGGAGAAAGCAGGTGGGTGTCGCCTGCGGTGTAGACGCTGAGGAGACAATCGGAGGCGTTTGCTCACGTGGTCTTCCAGAACCTCGGGAAGGGTGCATGAGAAAGAGGACCCTCTGCGGTCATTTCTAAAGCATAGTTTTAGCTTGTGAACCGCTCCGTTTTCTTCACGTCTGTCTCATCAAACAAAGCAACATAAAAGTGAATCCTGCTATTGGGCTAAAACCTTCCATTCCAGGTCCACCTTGGGGCCCACGGTGGAAGCCCCGCATCCACACACTAACTGGACTGGACACCCTCAGCTTTACCCAAACCCCAGCACCCACGGCCCCACCTGCTTCTCACCCACATCTGATCCACCCGCCCTTCATGCCCCCGGCACCGAATCTTTTCACTTCTAAGACGTCATGTTGTTCCTTCTGGTCCCCTCACATGCCCTCACCCTCTGTCACACCCGGCCTGAGCTCACACAACCACTGTCCAGGGATGGAGTTTGTCACACACAGTGGCCGTGGGGGAGAGAAGGTCAGAGAGGAACAGTCTGGGCCATTCTGAGCAGGAGGGAGGGTGTGGAAGGCAGGAAGGTTGGGGTGGGCTTTACCAGGGCACCCAGTGAGGAGGACAGAGCTGTGTGTGACACACCCTCTCTCGGGGCAGGGTGGAGAGGAGGGCGGGGCTGTGTGTGTGACACTCCCTCTCTCAGCCAGGGGCGGGGCCTAGAGAGAAGGGCGGGGCCGTGTGTGACATGCCCTCTCACCCGGGGCAGTATGTGTAGAGGGGCGCGGCTCTGTGTGTGACACTCCCTCTCGCATGGGTTGGGGGGTGTCTGTGACACGCCCTCTCACCCCAGGGGCGGGGCATGGACAGGAGAGCGGAGCCTGTGACACTCCCCCTCACCCCACCCGCAGATATTCCCTCTGATCTCGCAGTCCCGCTGGCTGGTGAAGAGTGGCGAGCTGACAGCCCTGGAGTTCAGCGTGTCCCCAGGGCTGCGGAGGAAGCTGAACACGCGCCCTGTCCACCTGCACCTCTTCAATGACTGCCTGCTGCTGTCCAGGCCCCGAGAGTCAGTGACAGGAGGGCGCCAGGCCCGGGTGGGGGTGGGGGGAGAGAAGGGATGACCAGAGGACAGGGAGGGGCTCCACCCATGGGCCAGGATGAGGAAAGAGGTCCCCCAAATTAGGTCGTGGAGTCCCACGGGACCAGCTCTAAACTGTAGACACAGGCAAGTTGCAGCATGTCTCAGACATGTCTGTGTGAGGCTGCTTTGGGTCCGGCCCAGTCCACCAGCCCGGAGCGATTAACCAAGTCCTGTCCTAACCCTCAAGTTCTAGACCAAAACCCAGACCAGTTATGGTGGAGACCACCCAGTCAGGGCGTCCCATATGTGTCAGTCGAGCTGAGCTCCACAGAACTTTCAGTGACTGGTTTGTCAGGCATGGACACCAGCCCTTTCTTCTGAGGCCTTCTAGGTGGGCTTACACCGCCACGTCTTGGTCAGCTCCACCCAGGGGCTCCTGAGGCGCTAAGCGTCTTGAATGTGGGTAGGGGTCTGTCTCCTGAGCTCTTAGAAGGGTGAAGGGTCCATTTACTGGACACACATTTGCCAAACTGGTGGCAAGCTCCCTGGGGTCCTGGAGCTACCATGTTGGCACCAGGGTCAGAACCAGCTGGGCTTTGCATGGCAATTTGCAAGCTGCACATACTGAGGACAAGGGTTTGGGACCCAAGTTTGTGAGGAGAACGGGGACTGGCGCTCTGGGTTGGACAGCCGCTATTTGCAGGGGCAGCCGGTTCCTGGTGTTTGATCACGCCCCCTTCTCCGACGTCCGCGGGGAGAAGTGTGAGATGAAGCTGCATGGTGCTCACAAGAACCTCTTCCGGCTCTTCCTGATACACAGCGCCCAGGGGGGCCAGGCCGAGTTCCTCTTCCGCACGGAGACTCAGTGAGAGGGGGCTGGGCCTGGTGGTCGGGGCAGCTGTTGGGGGAGCCCAGGCAGAGGGGTCCAGAGGCACCGGGGCACGAGGGACACGGTAGAGAGACCAGACCCAACCCCAGGCCCAGCACTGGCCCCCCCACAGGAGGCACTGTAGGAAAGCTGGGCCCCAGACCAGGCACAGCTCCGTATCCTGGCCACCCCCAGACCTAAGCTCCTGGACCTAACAGCTTGCGGGAGACCAGTAGTCAGGGAACAGAGAAGTGCCACCACCAGGCCTTAGCCTTGGTTACCATAGAGGGACTTCATTTGTGAGACCCCGCAGGAGGTGGAACTGGAGGGAGTGAGCAGAGGATTGTAGTGGGGAGAGCTTGGAACAGGAGTCCCCAGACACTGAGACCCCTCAGAGCCACGGCTGGTGGGCCTAGGTGTGAATGAGATGGGCCCTGCGGCCTTAGCATGCCCAGTGCCCACCGCCCAGCCCAGCCTGCTCTTGGGCACAAGTCCATCACAATCAAGATTTCAACAACAATGATTAGCTCCTCTTTTCTCCAGAATCCACTGCCACTGAGTCAATTCCAGTCATGGCGACTCTTCTTTCCTATAGTAGTAAAATGTAACACCTGGCATCACCATGAGCCACCATCAGCAACAGAATAGCACACGCACACGCACACCGCTACATTTCTAGGAGCGCGACTGGTGACACCCAAACGCTTTTGTGCGCACGGGTGCAGCAGTGACTGTTGAGGACTGCAGCTCCAGGGTGGGCAGGAGAGGTGCGCCAGTCTCCTTTAGAAAGTTGGACGTGACATCTAAGAGTCTGAGGACTCATGTGTTGGAGACCCTGTTCAGTTCTCTCCCTCAGAAGACCCTTCGGGGGAGGCTCAATAGCGCCTGTCCTCGCCAAGGGAACAGAGGGGCTTGTCGGGCGCGTGTATGCAGGTTCCACATTACAGCAGGCAGTCGCACAGACTCGGCCTCTTCCTGGGTCAACGAACACGTAAGCTCTCCGTTACCCAGGCAAGCTTGGAAGCAGAGGCTAAGAGAACATGAAAGCCTGCAGACAATTGCAAGATTAGGCTGGGATGACATTACGTGGTTTAAACAAACCACCACCAACAAAACAGCACACCTGTCCCCCGATCTAACTAGGGCTGCAGAGGGATTTTCTTCTCTGAGATGCTTGACTGGAGATGAGCAGTGGGGTGTCAGTTAAGGGTCGTGCAAAGTGATGGAGGGGACCGAAGCGAGGTCAGCATTTCCCGTTGTGCACTTTTGCTAATGGGACATCTACATGTGTGCACTTGACAGCTGACGCCAGGCCCCCTCTCGATGCGAGGGCCATCAGGAGAAGCCTGGGAAGACAGAGAAGGGAGAAAAGACCCTACCTCAGCCTTCAAGTCACTGAAGGGCTGAGCTTCTGCTCCGAGCAGGGAACCAGGGACCCTGGAGCTGGCCCTGCCTCCTGGGGCCCCGTGTGGGTCAGGGGTCAGCTGGAGCTGAGCTCCAGGGTCTTCAGTGGCTGATTAGGTGGAAGCAGACCCCAGTCCTTTCTTCCAAGGTCCCTCTGGGTAGACCCCAACCTCCAACCTTTTGTTAAGCAGCTGAGTGTGTTCACCATTGCAGCAGCACGTTTGTGTTTGGGGTGACGATTGTATGACACAGTGATTGTAATTAATGTCACTGGGTTATTTTAAAATGCAAATGTAACGCAGTAATGGCAATGCAATTCAGTTATTTCTTAAGGAAAACGACACAGAGTTCAAGGGCTTGTCATATTTCCAAGCGAGCAGCATCCAAGGCCCTTTGTCCCAGCAGTCACTGACTTGGGCCAGTTCTCCCCAGCCAGGGCCTCTCCCAGCCCTCACCGTACCTGGGCTGGGGTACAAGCTCTGACCTGGTCTTTCCAGAAGCGAGAAGCTCCGGTGGATCTCAGCACTGGCCTTGCCCAGAGAGGAGCTGGACCTGCTGGAGTGTTATGGTGAGTGAGGCTCTGAGAGGGGGGAAAAGGTGGGTCAAGGGGCGCCTTCCATGTAGTGGCTGAGGGGCCGGCGGGAGTCTGGGAAGCAGCCTTGTACTGCTTGGACCCAGAATTTCAGAGTAGGGGACTGGTCACAGAGCTCAAAGACCTGGGACCCTTAACACTGCTCATCACCATGGCAACACCCCTGTCTGGAACAATCTCTCGCTCTTTTTAAACACACATCCCCTAACATCTGCTGCTATGGTTTTCCCCAGACCTAACCCTAGGTGGCTCAAATGGTTTGTCCTGGATGGGTGGACACATTTCAGTAGAGCTTCTAGACTAAGATAAACTAGGAAGAAGGATGTGGCCGGGTCACTTCTGAAAAAATTGGCCACTGAAAACCTTATGAATAACAGGGAAACACTGTCTGATATAGTGGAGGAAGATGAGCTCCTTAGGCTGGAAGGCACTCCAAATATAGCAGCGGAAGAGCTGCCTCCTCGAGGTAGAGTCGACCTTCAGGACATTGATGGAGTAAAGTTTTCACAGCCATCATTTGCTGATGTGGTGTGCCTCAACATGAGAAGAAGTAGCTGCAAACATCCATTATTAATCAGAATGTGGAATGTATGGACTATGAATCTAGGAAAATTGGAAGTTATATAAAATGAAATGGAATGCATGAAGATCAATATCTTAGTCATTAGTGAGCTGACATGGACTGCTATTGGCCATTTTGAGTCCAGAAAATCATTTGGTCTACTATGACAGGAATGACAAATTAAAGAGGGACGGCTCCACATTCATTGTCAAAAAGAACATTTCAAGATCCATCCTGAAGTACAACAGTGTCAGTGACAGGGTAATATCCATACGCCAACAAGGAAGACCACTTACTACTACTATTATTCAGATTTACACACCAACCACTAAAGATAAAGATGAAGAAATTGAAGATTTTGACCAATTTCTGCAGTCTGAAATTGACCAAACATGCGTTCAACAGGTATTGATGATTATTGGTGATTGGAATGCAAAAGTTGGAAACAAAGAAGAATTATCAGTAGTTGGGAAAATATGGCCTTGGTGATAGAAATGACATCAGAGATTGCGTGATAGAGTTTTTCATGACCAATGACTTATTCATTGTAAATACCTTTTTCCAACAACATAAACAGTAGCTATACATGTGGACCTCTCCAGATGGAATACACAGGAATCAGATTGACTACATCTGTGGAAAGAGATGATAGAGAAGCTCAATATCTTCAGCCAAAACAAGGTCAGGAGTTAACTGTGGAACACACCATAAACTGCCCATAGGCAAGTTGAAGTTGAAGAAACTTAAAACAAGTCCACAAGAGCCAAAATATGACCTTGATCATATCCCACCTGCATTTAAAGACCATCTAAAGAATAGACTTGACACATTGTGGTGGTTAAGTTTGTGTGTCAACTTGGCTGGGCCTGGTGGAGTGCCTGGACAGCTGAATGTGGTATTCCCCATGATGAGACTGCTAATCAACTCCATGGTAGAATCTACTATGAGCAGCTGAGTAGCTGCCTCTGGGTATGTGGTCTGCTTCCCGCATGTAAGAAACCACTTTGGGAATGGCCCCTAGCTTATGGCATGCTTGAACCCTGCATGTAGCCATGTCAGCAGCCTGCCATGCTCTGCCAATCTTGGGATTTTCAATGGACTTCAAATAATGGCCTGCCATGTAGTTTGGTAACATCAGGACTGTGCCATTTTATTTGTTGACCTTGGGTTTGTCAGCCTCAGCAGCCAGTAGTTGTCTGACTGAAGAGATGCCTCTAGCTTCAGTGGCCTGGGAGCAAAAGGCAGAGCTGAAGCCCAAGGTCGAGAGGCTTTCACACAGTCCCTAGAGCCTGGCACTTTGAACTTGGACTTAAAGCCTCCAAATTTTAAGAATAAACTCCTGTTTGTTCAAGCCATCCCACTGGTGGTATATTCTTGTCAGAACAGCATTAGGGAACCAGAACAGGCATTGAACACCAATGAGCTAAGACCAGATGAGTTGTGGGATGACATCAAGAGCATCAGACATGAAGAAAACAAAAGGTCATTTAAAAGACAGGAAAGGAAGAAAAAACAAATGCGGATGTCGGAAGAGACTCAGAAACTTGCTATTGAATGGAGAGTAGCTAAAGCAAATGGAAGAAATGATGAAATAAAAAAGATGAGCAGAAGATTCCCAAGGGTGGCTTGAGAACAAAGTGAAGTATTATAATGAAATGTGCAAAGACATGGAGATGGAAAACCAAAGAGGAAGAACACGCTCAGCATTTCTCAAGCTGAAAGAACTGAAGACAAAAGTCAAGACTTGACTTTGACCTACAACACTGTAGGATTCTAAGGCAAAATATTAAATGATGCAAGAGATCAAAAGAAGATGGAAGGAATACGTAGGCAATCTACTCCCATAGAGATACTGCCTCAGAAGCCCAAGGAGAGGTCACTATGAGTTGGGACCAACTCAGCAGCCAATGAGTTTGTTTTTTTCTGGTTTGTATCAAAAAGAATTGTTGTTGTTGTTGTTATGTGCCGTCGAGTCAAACCCGACTCATAGCGACCCCTCCTTGGGTTTCCGAGGCAGTATCACTATGGAAGTAGGATTGCCCAACCTTCCTTCCGAGGAGTGGCTGGTGGGTTTGAACCGCCAGCCGTCTGGTTAGCAGGCAAGTGTCTTAGCCACTATGCTACCAGAGCTCCCTCAAAAAGAATTAGTGGATATTAAACCACTTCAGCACATAGCATATGATCAAGAACTGATGGTACTAAAGGAAGAAGTAGAAGCTGCACTGGAGGAATTGGGAGAAAAAAAAAAAGGCTCCAGGAATTGATGGAATACCCATTGAGATGTTTCAACAAATAGATGTAGCACCGGAGGTGCTAACTCATTTATGCCAACAAACTTGGAAGACAGCTACCTGCCAACCAACTGTAAGACATCCATATTTGTGCCTATTCCAAAGAAAAATCATCCAACAGAATTCAGAATCTATCAAACAATATCACTAATATCACATGCAAGTAAAATTGTGCTGAAGATAATTCAAAAACAATCGCAGCAGTAGATTGACAGGGAAATACCAGAAATTTAAGCCACATTCAGAAGAGGACATGGAATGAGGGTTATCACTGCTGATGTCGGATGGATCTTGGCTGAAAGCAAATACCAGAAAGATGTTTACCTGTGTTCTATTGACTATGCAAAGGCATTTGATTGTGTCGATCATAACAAATTATGGATAACATTGAGAAGAATGGGAATTCCAGAACACTTAATTGTGCTCATGAGGCATCTGTACATAGACCAGGAGGCTGTCGTGTGAACTGAACAAGGGGACACTGCATAGTTTAAAATCAGGGAGGGAGTGTGTCAGGGTTGTATTCTTACACCATACTTATTCAATCTGTATGCAGAACAAATAATCTGAGAAGCCGGACTATATGAAGAAGACCAAGGCATCAGGATGGAAGAAGGCTCCTTAACAACCTGTGATGTGCAGACGACACAACCTGCTTGGTGAAAGTGAGGAGGACTTGATGCACTTACTGATGAAGGTCACAGACTCCAGCCTTCACCTCAACATGAAGAAACTAAAATTCTCAAAACTGGACCAATAGCAGCATCATGATAAATGGAGAAAAGATTGAAGTTGTCAGGAACTTCATTTTACTTGAATCCACAATCAATGCCCATGGAAGCAGCAGTCAAGACATCAAAGGATGTACTCTATTGAGCCAGTCTTCACAAGAGCTCTTTAAGGCATTGAGGTGTGAGGATGTCACTCTGAGGACTACTGCGCCTGACCCAACCCCTGGTATTTTCAACCACCTCATATGCATGTGAAAGTGGGACAATGAATAATGAAGACTGCAGAAGAATTGAAGCGTTTGAGTGGTGGTGGTGGTGGTGAAGAATATTGAATGGACCATGGACTGATAGAAGAAGGAACACACCTGTCTTGGAGGAGGTACAGACAGAATGCTCCTTAGAAGCGACAGTGGCCAGAATTCCTCTTGCATTCCTTGCTCATGGTATCTGAAGGGACCAGTCCCTGGAGAAGGACACCACGCTGGGTAAAGTAAAGCATCAGCAAAAAAGAGGCAGACCCTTAGCAGGAAGAATTGACACAGTGGCGGCAACCATGGGCTCAAGCTTGGCCACGGTTGTAAGGACGGCACAGGACTGGGCGCTGTTGGGTTCTGTTGTGCAGAGGGTCACTATGAGCCGGCACCAGCTTGAGTTCACCTAACAGCAGCAGTAGTAACTATCCTGGAGGTGGACAGTTGGAACCCACCCAATGGCACCATGGAAGAGAGGCCTGGTGATCTGCTTCCATGAAGGTGACAGCAAAAGAACTCCGTGGGGCGGTTCTGCTCCATGACACACAGGTCGCCATGCGGCAGAAACAACTTGAAGGTGACGGGGTTGGTGTTTTGGTTTGGATCTGTGTGAAGGTCTAGCCGGATGTGGGGAGCAGGGAAGATGCAGGACACAGGAGGTATCTCACCCCTTCTCCTGGGCAGGAGACCTGGAGGCTCCCCAGGCCCTGGGCCCCCTGTGTCTGTGTTCACACTAGGGGAGTCCTCCTGGCCCTGTGTTGGCCCACAGCTGTCTCAAGCCAGGAGGACTTTAAGGAACAGTGACATGGAGAGGTGCTGTCACTCAGAGAACATTGGGAGCAGATGTAGAAAGTGGACTCTGACTGAGCTCTGATGGGTCCACAGGAGGGTGAGGAGGGAGCAGGTCTTTCATCCTGCACTGCAACCTGTGAACAGCAGACGGGACGAGCTGACCCCAAAGGCATGTGGGTGATGACACAGCATCTCGTTTGTGTTCCGGGAGAGCCTGAGCAGGGTGGTGAAGTAGGAAGAGCCAAACACCCGGGTGGGAAGGAAGGTGAATGTGTGGCATCCTCCGAGGCGCGTCCCGTGAGCTTCAGAAACCATGGAGCGTGGAATTGGATGATAGTGATGGTTGAACAGTGTGCTGGACCGATGAGCAGCCCTGAGTGAACCTGTGGAGAGTGGTGCCGTGGCTCATAGTTACACACGAACTTAGCACCACAACAAAATGAATTGGAGGAGATGAAGGACGGCAGTCCCCCCAGTTCACGGAAATTCAGCCACGCAGAAAACCAGAATTTGCTTGGAATCATCTGGATTGGCCCAGTGGTGAGAACGCTGACGTCACAGGAGGTCAGCGCCTTGGGTCATACCTGCAGCCAGTGCTTACAGCTCTGGTCCCACATTGGTGCTGGGAAGGAGAGGGAGAACTGGGTGCGGACTGAGATGTGACCATCCAGTTGGAGAGGTGCGCACGTGGGAAACAAGGAGAGAAGTGCCTGTGGGCCACCTGCTTGCTGGAGCTCAGCGCCCCCCAGCACCGAAGGCTCCCAGTTTTCAGGGAGTGGAGGGGGGGGTCTGTCGTGAATCTAGGGCATCTGTAATCGGGGCAACTCAAGGGCCACGCTCTTTCTCCATTTGTCTTCCCCAGGAATGTAGGATGTTGACCCCATTGCAATTCGGTATTCCTTTCCCTGTGAACCGTTTTGGTCCCTGGTAGAAGGTGAAGGTTTTGCCAGTTTCCTCTTCATACCTTCAACAGCCCAATCCCATCTCTGTCCCAAGCCCCCCCAGATCGCCCTGAGCTCCTGCTCCAGGCTCCAGGCACCTGCTCCCCTAACTCAGCCGTCTTCTCGTCCCAGACTCCCCGCAGGTGCAGTGCCTTCGCGCCTACAAGCCCCGTGAGAATGATGAACTGACGCTGGAGAAGGCTGACGTGGTGATGGTGATGCAGCAGAGCAACGACGGTGACAGGGCCACGGGGAGGGCCCAGGGGGCCGGCAGGGACGGTGGGCGTGGCCAGCTCCAGGCGCCATGGTCGTGGTTGGGAGCTGGACACGTCCCATGTTGGGGTCTCTGGGGCTCCCGGTGCATCCAGCCTTAGGATGCAGAAGCGTTCCAGCAGAGGCCCAGGGGAACCTGAGGTGAGTGTTCCCCAGGTGACTGTCCCTTGCCCACAGGCTGGCTGGAGGGCATGAGGCTCTCTGATGGGGAGCGGGGCTGGTTCCCCCTGAAGCATGTGGAGTTCATCTGGAACCCGGAGATTCGCACACGGAACCTGAGGGAAGCGCAGCGCGTCAAGACCGCCCGACTGCAGCTGGTGGAACAGCAGGCCTAGCTTCCTCGGGGTCTCCTGGGCTTGCATGGGACATTCCTGGGGAGAGCTTTCCCCAGCCCCCGGCCTTGGAGGCCGCAGTGCCTGGGACCCTGCTGGTCTACCTCCTCTCTCTGTGCTGTGCTTGGGGGACTTTGCAGTGGGCTCTGGGAGCTTTTCTCCAGGGAAGGGCCACGGGGCCTAAGCTGAGGAGGGACTTCCCTGCCCTACAGTGTGCTCCAGAGCACAGGTGCAGCCCGAGGTCTCACAGGATCTGACCCCGGCTCCTAGGGGAGATGCGTAGGGGGATGGGAGGGCCGACCTGAGTCCTCCAAGACATCTCCGGGCCCTGGCACTTCTCTCTGCGTGTGGTCAGGCGTTACTGCTGGGCTCTGGTCTGTGCATGGCGACAGGAGGGTTGCCTCACTCTAATAAACATGACGCTTCTCTGTTTTCTCTTGACTCCTCAGCGTGGCATGAGGTTCAGGGAACCACTGCACCACAAATGTTGTTCTTGTTAGTGGGCCCCTGAGGATCCAGCCTGGGGGACTCAGTGACAGTGGCTGTGAGTCCTGCCTGTGACCCTGGAAAGTCTGGGCCCTTCCTTTGCTAGCTGTGGCTCCACAGGCTGGAGGTCTTTGATCCCCGGGTTTGGCTGAGTCTCCTTCACAGTCCTGCCTGGCGGCCAGTCTATGGACGGCACGTGGTCTGTTCTCATGATCCACAGTCGATTATTCTACGAAGTCCCCAAGACAGGGAATTAGTGACACCATTTGCCGTCAAGCAACTACAACTGCTGGTGGCCCTGTATGTGGAGAACCAGGCTCCACAGGGGTCCAGTGGCTGATTCTTCAGAAGCAGGTCACCAAGCCTTCTTTCCAAGGTGCCTTGGGGTGGACACGAACATCCAACCTTTGGACTAGTGGCTGGGTGTTAACTGTGCACCACCAAGGCCCCCCTAGTGTTTCTGTACTCTAGTGCCACTCTAACAGAAAAATGCCATACGTGGGATGGCTTTAACAAACAGGGATTGATTCTCTTACAGTTTTAGAGGCTAGAAGTCAAAGTGCCAGCTCTAGGGGGTGAGTGAAAGCCCCTCGACCTTGGGCTTCAGCTCTGCCTCTTGCTCCCGGCCCACTGAGACTGGAGGCTTCTCTTAACTCTGGAGGCTGCTGGCTGCTGAGGCTGAGATACCCAAGGTCAACAAGTAAAACAACACCATTTCAAGATTAGCAGACAATATACCAGGCCAGTGGTTCAAGTCCAGAGACAGTCCCAAGATCGGCAGGCACCATGGCGGTCTGCTGAATGAAGACTCAGCTACGTGCAGGATCCAAAGGTGCCAAAAAGCTTAGAGACCTTTCTCAAAGACCACATCCCTAAGGCAGCTACACACCTGCTCTAGCACATCCCACCATGTGTTGATGACCAGTCTCACCACAGGGAACAATTACATGCAACTGCCCAGCCACTCTGCCAGGACCAGCCAAGCTGACCCACAACCTTAACACCTAGCAAACAGCAGGCCAGCCTACGTGACCCCAGTTCGTCATGGCTCTGAGCATGGGCCTGTTGTCCCTAGATGCCCACAGAGTACTACGAGTATTTTTAGCAAATGGGCAGATTCAGGAATACAGAATCCACAACAAATGGGCATGCATTGCAGTTGATAGGTGCTGTTGTGTCAGCCCCAACTCATAGTGACCCCTTTACAACAGAACGAAACGTTGCCCCGTCCTGTGCCAGACTCATAATCTCTGCTGTGCTGGCACTCACTGTAGCAGCCACTGTGTCGGTCCTTCTCGTGGAGGATCTTCCCCTTTCCACTGATACCCTTCTCCAGGGAATGGTCCCTTCTGACAACACGTATGTAAGTCCAAGTCTGGCCATTCTTGCTTCTAAGCAGCATTCGTGCTGCACTTCTCCCAGAACAGATTTGTTTGTTCTTCTGGCAGTCCATGGTATTTTCAGTATTCTTCACCAACACTACAACTTAAAGGCATCCATTTTTCTTCCATCTTTGTTATGCATCGTCCTGCTCTCACATGCATATGAGGTGATTGAAAATACTACAGCTAGGAGCTCTGGTAGCATAGTGGCTAAGACACTTGCCTGCTAACCAGAAGGCTGGCGGTTCAAACCCACCAGCCACTCCTCGGAAGGAAGGCTGGGCATTCCTACTTCCATAGTGATACTGCCTCGGAAACCCAAGGAGGGGTCACTATGAATCGGGGCCAGCTTGATGGCACATAACAACAACAACAACAGGATAGGTGAACCTTAGTCTTCAAAGTGACATCTTTGCTCTCCAACACTTTAAAGAGGTCTTTGCAGCAGATCTGTCCGGTGTAGTACAGCGTCTGATTTCTTGAGTATGCATTCTGATGTATTTATGTAACATGGATACCTACAGGCCTATGTGGGTGTATGTGTCATGGCTGACCCATTCGTCCCTCCTGGCATTGCTCCTCTCAGTTGAGACCAGCCTAATGTCTTCCTCAAGTAAGGCCCTCAAACCAGAGTGGCACAGCCATCATTTAAGGCGGGCCCCACTCCAATGGAAGGCTTGAAAGTGGAACTGCATTGTCATGATGTTCTAGGGTCAGACAACACTGTCAACTTTGTCCAAAGCCCAACTGAGGATCATGTGACACTACTTTGTTTCCACCTTCCCTAAAGTAAGTTAGCTTCTGTGATTTTTAAATGTTATCATGGTAGTAATGAAGACGAGCTAATCTTCTTGAGGACGGGGATACTGCTAAAATTTCTAAAATAGGGATGCCGCTAACAATGGAAGCCCCATCTTTCTAACACAGAGCAGCTACCGACCTTTCGGTTCACAGCACTTTTCCACTGCACCGCAAACGTTGTTCTTGTTAGAGGCCCTTAAGTCAGTTCCAAGTCAGCGCCCCTACCACGTGAGAGGGAAAAGCATGCCAGGGCCTGGCCACCCTCACAATCGTTGCCATGGATGAGCCCATCGTCACGGCCACTGCGTCACTCCATCTCGTGGAAGGCCTTCCCTTTCCACTGACCCTCTGCTTTGCCAAGCATGATGTCCTTCTCCAGGGACTGGTCCCTCCTGGTAACGTGACCAAAGGACGTGACACACTTGCAGGGAGCACTCTGGCTGCACTCTTTCACCACAGGTTTGGCCGTTCCTCTGGTGGTGGATGGTGTATTCAGTAAACGTCATCAGCACCACAGACCAGAGGTGTCATCTCTTGCTTTTCCTCATCCATTGTCCACTTTCACATGCACATGAGGCGACTGAAAATGCCACGGCTTGGGTCAAGCGCCCCTCAGTCCTGTGACGTCTTTGCTGCTTGACACTTCAAGAAGTCTATTTGCAGCAGATCTGCCCAGTGCAATATTTCATTGGATCCTGACTGCTGCTTCCATAGGTGTTGGTTGTGAATCCAAGTAACAAAATCCTTGAGAACATCAGTCTTTTCTCCATTTATCATGACATTGCTTATTGGTCCAGTTGTGAGGACTTTTGTTTTTTTTATGTTGAGGTGCAATCCAGACTGCAGACGGTAGTCTTAGATCTTCATCAGGAAGTGCTTCAAGTCATCCTCACTCTCAGCAGCCAAGGCTGCGGCATCTGCGTGTTGCAGGTTGTTAACGATCCTTCCTCCAATCCCAGTGCTGCATTCCTCTTCATGTACTGCAGCTTCTTGGATTACTGGCTCAGCAGACAGAGTAAGTGTGGTGAAAGGATACGACCCTGACACACGACTTTCCTGATTTTAAACCACGCAGTATCCCCTTGTTCTGTTTGAACCACTGTGCCTTGATTTATGTACAGGTTCTGAATGAGCACAATTAAGTGTTCTGGAATTCCCATTCTTCATGGTGTTAACTGAGGATAATAATTTGCTGTGATCCACATAGTCAAATGCCTTTGCACAGTCACTGGAACACAGGTAAACATCTTTCTGGTATTTGCTTTCAGCCAAGATCCATCTGACACCAGCAGTGATAGCCCTCATTCCACGTCCTCTTCTGAATGTGGCTTGAATTTCTGGCAGTCCCCTGTCAACATACAGCTGCAACCGTTTTTGATCTATCTTCAGCAAAATTTTACTTGCATGTGAGACTGATGGTGTTCGATGATGTCTGCATCCTGTCTGATCACCTTTCTTTGCACACAGATATGGATCTCTAAGTGGAAGAGATACAGGTGTATGAACCATGGGTTTACAGGGTAGGATTTACAACACATCATTTTGGGACACTGTTTAATCCGGAACACTTGCCTAATTGTGTCTGTGCCTCTCAAACAGCTTCTGTCTCTATGGTACGATAAAAAAAAAAAAAAAGGATTTTCCCAGTTAGCCTTCAGGAGGGAAGTAAGTGTTCAAAGGTCTTTGGAGTCTAAATCAATGGCCCTCCCCATCCCTGTTTTCTCTCCATGTCTGCCCCACCCCCCACATCTCCATTTTACATCCAGCAGCCGGTACATGTTTTGTTTCATGACTCTGGTTCCTCTCACACATATGTTTGCTTTTGTCCTGGAATAAATCCCACTCTTTTTTTCAAGGCCACGCTGCTTCTCCCACAATCCTCTGTGCCATGACTCTCAGTGCAGCTGCCCCTATGGCACAGGCCTGGTCCAAGGGAATAGACACCCAGGAGTTCGGCCCTTTGTAGACCTGATGGTCACTGCTCTCCGCAGAGACACGTCCCTGGAGTTTGTGATTGTAGTTGTCAGACATCCTGCGCAGACATCTCCGGGTGCCTGTGGTTTGACTGGGCAACTCCTGCCCCGCCCCGCCCCCCCGCTGCGCACGTGATCAGGAGCTCGCTGACCTAGGCTCCCAGCCTGTGGTTCTGTGTCAGTCCACCCCTGGGCGCAGGTGTGTGCGGGGTCAAAGGTTACCAGCAAATGAGCCTGGCAGGGCGCACACCCAGTGGACCCAATGCACGTCTAGCCTAGATGCAAAACGTGAGGTCTTCGGCCGGTTGGGAGAAGGTTAGGCTATCTACTTCCTTAGAGATACCGCCCAGGTTAAGCAGCCGTCACGGAGGAAACGTTTTCCGAAGCGGATGAGCCAGTGTCCACGCAGCGGCAGGGGTCCCAGGCCACGTTGGGGCAGAGACGTGAGGGTGGCGGGGCGTTCTCGGCGGGGGGCGGGGCGGGGGGGGCAGAGGAGGGCGCGGGGCGCGGGGCTTGCCCTACACTGTGTGCAGGTGGGCGGGCGGCGGGCGGAGGCCTGCCCCGTGAGTCACCCGCCGGCCCGGGGCGGAGCTGCTCACGGGGAAGGCCGGCCCCCAGTCCGGTGGGGCTGTCCTGGCTGTACCCCGACAGGGACCCCGCCCTCTCTGCCCGGGGACGAGACCAGGAGCTGAGCCCTTCAGCGGCCGCGGGCTGCGGACAGGCAGGGCTGGGAGCCAGGCCCGGGATCTCCTCTGCCAGTCCTCAGCGTGTGGGGAGGGCCGAAGTGTGTGTGTGGTGTGTGTGTATATATGTGGAGGGGGTGTGCACGTGTTTACATGTGTGCATATTTGTGGTGTGTGTATGTGGGGGTGCGTATCTGTGTCTATATGTGTGAATATGTGTGCATATGTGTGGTGTGTGTGTGTGGGGGGGTGCGTGTCTGTGTGTCTGTGTGTGAATATGTATGGCGTATGTGAGGGTGGCGTGTCTGTGCAGAGGCGGCGGTGTAGACCTGGGGTGGAGGGGACACGATCTCTAGAACAGATGCGTGTGTATGTGTGCATATGTGTGGTGTGTGCGTGTGGAATTTACGCAGGAAAACCAGACTTCCTCCCTGTCACAACGCACCGCCGGGGTGAGCGAAGGGGGTGGAGCGTTTTTCCCGATGAGGATCCCGGAAGGTGAGGTCCCAACAGTTCTGAGGACGCCGGAAGGAAATGCAGTCCCGCGTCTGAGCTAACCGGGCCTGGCCTGCGCCGGATCGTACGCACCCACGCCGCCAGTCAGGGGCGGGACCGTGAGACGTCACCGTGAGACAGACGTCACCGTGAGACAGACGTCACCGTGAGACAGACGTCACCGTGAGACAGACGTCACCGTGAGACAGACGTCACCGTGGAGCCGCGTCCTGGGCAGGACAAGCGGGGCGCTGAGCGTGCTGGGTGCACGGAAACGCCCCCGGGGAGGGTGGTGCCGCCCAGCAGGGGCTCCAGCTCCACAGAGCTCACCCCTGCAGGACCCCAGCGCGGGGTCGGACGGTGCTGGCTGCAGGGTGCATAGGGCGGGGGCGGGCCTGCGGCGCGGGGGAGGGCCACCCACCTAAGGACCAACTGGGCGCAGCTGCTCCGGACGGGACCGGGCCTCTGCGCAGAAATCCCTCTGAGAACACAGTCCGGGCAGGAGGAGCGGACTCGAGACCACGCGGCCAGGGAAGCTGCCCAGCTGAGACCCAGACAGGAGACGGCAGCCGCGGGGGGCAGAACCGTTTGCAGGAGGTTCTGCTGGCCAGCCCGCTACACCGCCCCTCCTCCCCACCGTCAGGCTCCGGTCCTGCCCTGTCTTCCCTGCCACCATGCCAGTCTGCACCCCTCCTTCCTGGAGCACCCAGTCTTCCTGGAACGCGCAGCGATCAGTCTCAAGCTTGACTTCAAACGCTTCTCTCCTACCCTATCTCCCAGCGTCTGAGAGTTTTCCAGAGACAGAACCAGCAGATACACACATATATGATACAGTGACACATACACACACATGTAACAAAGACAGGTGTCTGTCTATTCATACAGATACACTCATACTAACATACAGAGCCAGCGACACATACACACGTGTATGTAACACAGAGCCAGTAGCGGCATGGAAACACACATATGTAACAGAGCCAGGGCCAAATGGGTACACACACGCACACATGGCCACTAGCGTGTTGGTGCGGACCCGTAGTGACACCATGCGGGTTACACCTGTACACAGGGTTTGCAAGGGCTGATTTTTCAGAAGCGGGTTGCCAGGCCTTTCTTCCGAGGTGCCTCTGGGTGGACTCGAACTGCCTGCCTTTGGGTGGTAGCCCAGCGCTTCGCTACCTGCACCCCAGGACTCTTGCTGCAGTGTTTCGGCCACCGTCGCCCTGGTGTAGCGCGCCATCTAGTGGGCATCCTTTTGTAGTGCAATCTAAAGCTAAAAAACCCAAAAAAGCCAAACGTACTGCTGTGGAGTTGGCTCCTACTCACAACGACCCTGACTCACAGCGACCGCGACTCACAGCGACCCTTCCTTGGGTTTCGGAGACAGTATCACTACAGAAGTAGATTGCCCAATCTTCCTTGCAAGGAGTGGCTGGTGGGTTTGAACGGCCAGCCTTCTGGTCAGCAGTCCAGTGCCTCAGGCACTAGCCACCAGAGCTCCCTAAGGCTAAAAGGCGTCTTTAGAATGTAACAGTGACAGTGGTGGAATTCTCACCCTCTGTGCAGCCACTCCTCGGAAGCAAGGTTGGGCAATCTACTTCCATAGAGATACCTACCGCCTTGGAAACCCAAGGAGGGGTTGCTCTGAGTCGGATCAGACCCAACGGAAGTGAGTTTGGTTTTCTTTTTCGGAGGTAGGTGACAGTGAGTTTAGTTTTTTGCTTTAGGCAGGAGACAAGGAGCTCTGGGCCCAGTGCCTAAGGCGTCCGACTGCTAGCCAGAAGGTTGCAGGTTTGAACCCGCCAGCCACTCCTCAGAAGGAAAATGGGGCAATCTACTCCCATATTTACCCTCAGAAACCCAATGGGGGTCGCTATGAGTTGGGATCGACTCGATGGTGGTGACCCTCAGTGAGATGCAGGAGATGCGGGTTCGAGCCCCGGCCGGTGCACCTCGGGTGGCCACCTCCTGTCACTGGAGGCTGGCGTGTGCTGCCGTGACGTGGAACCAGCTGCAGCAGGCCTTGCAGACGGTGACCAGGAAGAAGGGCCTGCCCACCTGCTCCTGAAAGTCAGTGGAAGCCAGCCAGCTTCCACGCAGACGCAAAGCCCCTTGGTCCAGCGGCCGAGGAAGGGGGCACCGGGCAGGGCCTCACTTGTGACCGTCCCCCCTCCCTGAGATCAGGAGGCGGCCTTGCTCTCTGCTGGACTTTTCCTGCCTCTCAGAGCCTCCACCTCTGCAAAGGGCATGGCAGGTGACAGGAGGCGCAAGTGGTAGCGCTGGGGGGGGGGGCACGGGAGTGACCATTTGGGGTGCACCCGGGATGGGATGGTAAGAAAGGCCTGGCTCCCTGGTCCGGCCCGGGGCGCGGGGAGCCGGGACTCGGGAGGGGGGCCTGGAAGCGGACGCAGGGAGGAGACCCGCCAGCTGGTCTGCCTCTTCTGCCCCACACCCACCCAAAGAGCTTAGGGAGAACCACCCCGGTTCCTCTAGACCCTGCTGGCTGCCTCCCGTGGGTCCCCGGGGGGCCGTCCTGAGCACAGGCACCCTGAGGCTCAGCCCAGGGCCAGGCCAGAACGTGGGGAGTGACGACTCTCAGCGAGGCCCAGAGGCTCCGCATGTCCTGGGCCGGAGGCGGGCCCACGACTGCAGGACATGACACCTAGGCCACTGGCCGGCGGGTGAACACGAGGGAAGGACACAGGCTGGCTAGTGGGCATAGAACACATGCTCACAGGACGGACCCCGGGGGTAAACGGGTTTACTCTCATGCCAGACACATGGCTGTCCGTCCTCCAGGAACCAGCGTAACGGGGTATGACATTCACCAACAATGCAGCCCACCCCCCTTTCCTCAGGATCACCCCACACAGGCATGGACAGCCCTCAGCTGCCATTCTTCCTTCTCAAACCAGTGGTCCACGTGGGGTCCCGACTCGCAGCCATCAAGCGAGCCCACCGTCTCGTGCAACCATGTCCATCCCTGTGGGGGCAGGTCCTTCCCTGGCAGCAGCCTAGCCCACTAGGGGACAAGGCAGCTCTTGTCTTCACCTGGAGCCTCGTCCTGAGTGGCCAGCTGGTCCCGGGGCTCAGCCAGCAGCCCCTCTGGAGCCTTGCTGAGTAGGGGCCCCATTCCCAACGGCCTGGCCCCTGCAGGCAGTGCAGTGGGGCCCGGGGAAGGCGCTCCGTTCATGGTCTGCTCATAGGGAGCCAGGAAGAGGTCATCAGGGAGGTAGCCCTCTGCCCCTGTGTGGTGGCCCAGTGTCTGTGTGTAGAAGGGGCCAGGCAGGGGCAGCTCGGGCAGGCAGGGGTGGTTCCAGGGCACTGGACCTGCAGGCAGGGGTGTGTGCAGGGGGTGAGATGGGGGTCACAGAATGAAGCAGCGCTGACACGGTTCTAACCGAGCCTCCCGTCTGGACACCAGCTGGGCCCCCGGGGTTGCCTGTCCAGGAGAAACACCACTACACCAGGAGCTGCCCAGTGTGGACATGCTCCCACGCTGAGGCCGGAGGGCCTGTGTCAGGCCAGGGCCACCTCTCAGGGGCCGGGACCCAGAACAAACTTCCTCCCCCGCTAGCTTCAGTCTCAACAGCATGGATGCTTCTGGGGCTTGCGCGGCCCAGGCCCCAGTGATGAGGTGCTGCTGCCTCCGCCCCACTCTGTGCCCCCCCCACTGGACACACTGTGCCTGACCCTCGCCGGCTCTCTGCAATGGGGGGGGGGGGATGCCGCGCCTGACCCTCCGCTATGCAGGTCCCAGGAACTCAACAAGAGTGAAGACTCATTGTCTCCCGGCGCCGCCCCACTCTTCACCCTCCGGCCCCTCAGAGCCCTCCTTTCCTCCGACCTACTCACCCATGCTCCCACCGGGGGGCTGCAGCAGGACCTGCCCCGATGTGGGGCCCGGGAAGCAGCCCTGAGAAGGGCCCCCGTGGGGGCCGTAGGGCCTGGGGAAGAGGGTGTCCTCCAGTGGTGGCGGGGTCAGGGAGCTGGGCACGGGGCCGGGGAACGGGTGCAGGTAGGAGAGCAAGGGCGGCACGGGCTGGGGTGCCGGGGCGAAGGCCAAGGGCCCCTGCTGGTGGCCCCCGGGCTCCAGCTCCTCCAGGTATGAGCAGGTGGAGGGTGGGGCGATGCTGCAAAACAGGGGATGGGCTGAGGGTCAGGGTCAGGGTCAGGGTCACCTCCTTCCTCCAGCACCCAGAGCCCTTTCCTCTGCCTGCCTCCCTGTCGCCATGGCCACCCACTGTGGCCCCTCTTCCTCTCCACCCAGCTCTGGGCTGTCCCTGGCTGTGTGCAGGATACTCTAGATCCTGACCCCGCCCTGACTCAGTTAACCCTTTCCCTCCCGAGCACGTCCTCCTGGGCTCCTCTAA